TCAGTTCAACATGGCTCCTAATGATACTGATCGGTTTAATTGTCTGGTTTCAGTGAGCTAGCCAAAAGGCCTTGGTGGTTGATGTAACGGTGAAACATCTAGTTTATCTATAAAGCTGCAGCTTTTCATTATAAAACTCCTGCTGTTCTTTTTCATTGTCAAAATTTTGAAGCTAATAAACTTTATTTGAACCATGCAGAATAACCGGTTTTGTTAAAATGTTTATGATCCCATTCAACGTGCTGTCTTGGTGTGTTTGTTTGCTCCCATGTGTCGCTGCAGAAAGTAGATTCTCGAGGCGCTTTTACTCATTTTAACGCCTGTTATGATGCCTCCTTTTACACCATAATGGCCATGCTTTCAGATCTCTGCTGGATTCAGTGGGGTGTCCTAAAACAAAAAAATAAAACGGCAAGAAACTGTTCTTTTAAGATGTTGAAGAGCATAAAGCTCTGGTTTGTGTGCAGTTATCTGTTGGCTGCTGCCATGTTAAGCTATGCAAAATGATATCGAGGTTCATAAATCAACCAGTCACACAACCCATCCTGCTCCCTGGGAGGATAGATGATGAATCCTTTACCTCCAGGGATCAATCTATTGCAGAACAACAGAAGATACATTAGGTTTCTGTTTACTTCTGTGGATTAAAATGTATTTTCATCCCAGCAACTAATGATTTTGAAAATGAATGGGAGCTAATCACCAAAACCAATAACAGAGTGATTGGGGCGAAAGGTGAAGGAGATTTCCCTGCAATCGAAGGGTTGTCAGTTTGAACCATGGCTCCGGCTTTCAGTGTCGTTGTGTCCTTGGCAAAACATTTAAAAAAAAAAAGGAAAATTAAAAACAATCCACTGGACTTTGTTTCCAAGTTTAAAGACGCTTCGCTTCCCATCCAAGAAGCCTTTTAAATTCAAAATGGCAGGGATTACGTTGAGTTCAAGGTTTTACACGGTAGCCCAATAAAGCCTTTTTTATTGTTTTGGAAAACATGCAAATTGAAAAAAAAAAAACAAAACAAAAAAACGAAGGGGTCCACCCCTTTGGAACAGGGCTTGTTTGGCTTCTTTTGTTATCCTGCAATGCCCCATACCCGTCTAAGTCTCTATAAGGGGTGCCATTAAAGGGAATTGTTGCCCTGGCTGAATAGGAGAGGTCTTCTGCTCTCCTGTAAAGGGGTCGGGGCTGCGATGATGGCGGGAAGAGATCAACTCAATTGCTGCATTGTAGGTTTTTGAAAGCTGAAATCTGAGTCCACCACCTCTGTTTAAGGTTGTTTTTTCTCTGTTAACATAGATGGCTTCCTTCCCGCCCCTCTCAAACCACCCGTCTTCTTTGTCCAAAATGTGAACGTTCTGGTCCTCAAAAAATGTCCTTTGTCCATAAGGTGTAGATGTGCTACCAAGTCTTGCCTGGATGTGGTCGCTCTTCTGTGTTGAGCCATGCGTCTGTGGAGAGGTTGTTTGGTTTCTCCAATATAAAGATCAGATCCCTCCGCTCATCTTTGCTCTGGCGGTTTTGTCCTCAGGATGCACTAGCCTCTGTCTAAGGGTCTTGTTTGGTTTGAAATGTACTGGGATTATGTGTTTGGAGAAAATCCTTTTGAGTTTTTCAGAGACTCCTGCACATATGGGATGCAGATGTTTTGCATTTAATCTTCTCACCGTTCTGTTCCGCTGCGTGTCTTTTTGATTTTCTTGCTGATTTGACAAATGCCCAATTTGAGTATCTGCCCAGTTTGGGCAAGAAGCTCCACCTGAATTGTCTACTGATGGTGGTCAGAGGACCCGGTGGCGCCGGTTTACAGCAGCCTCGCTTCTGTCAGTGAGCCCCAGGGCAGCTGTGGCTACAGTGTAGTTTGCCACCATCAGTGGGTGTGAATTGGTGAATGACTAAATGTTGTGCAAAGCACTTTGGTCAAGTCTCTTACTTGAAAAAGTGCTATAGAAGTACAGGGCATTTACCATTTATCTTTTCTTTGATGTAACTAAAAGATCAAAACTTATGAACAAACTGAAATTGATGAACAAAGATCACTGACGCTGATCCTCCTTCAAGCTGCTGGGTAAAGAAATGCTGAATAATCAAGCAATCAGCACAAACATTTCAATGGTTCTAAAGGTGTGGGTCTCTCAAAATCACAGAGGAGACATTTTATTTCCTGATATTTAACGACTGATGTCCAACTTTTATCTAAGAAACAAAAGAAGGTGAAAGCTCCATTGATCCGTCAGGACATCCAACATGCCCAACAGGACATTATACAAAAAAATAAATAAATAACTTTGGTAAGAAAAAAAACTTTTTATATGTAATGCTAAAAAGTTAAATTTTGAATATATTTAATTCTGCCACTTCAGTCCTTTACATATCTTTAAAGAGCTGAAGAACAATTCTTATTTGGGGTTTTAGAGAAGCAAGGACTTTCTCCATTCCTGAAAGCATCATTTCTCTGTCACCATCACTTGTGTCTCTAATTCTTGCCACATACTAAATTGATGCTGGTTGATTTTCAATTTGATACACTGCTTAGCTCACAGGGCTTCATGCAACATGCAGCACAAATCAATGTGTTGTGAAGCCAAACTAGTTGTTGTTAGCGGTTGTCCAAAGGGACCCTGAGGGAGGGCAGCTGGGGGTATCTGCAGGTGTCTGCTTCCTATGTGGACTCCGTACCACGAAACTTCAAATGAAACATAACTAATTTAGCATCTGCTGTTTAAACGCTGTTTTCTATGAAATCCTTTTATTTTCAAAAAGGCAGGTTTATAAAATCTGGCTAGCATCTTTGATTTTATAATCTGCAGTGACTTCTAGCTAGATTCTCTTTTTTTTATTTTAATTTTAAGACCATTATATAAGATTATTTAACAGGATTAACATTTATTAATACTACTTTACCCTTCAGTATGATTTGACTTCTAATTGATATTTAGCTTCTGTTCTTTAGCGGTTAGCTTGCTTAGCATTTGAGAAAACATTTGTCCGTAAATGCGTCGATTCACACATTTTAGACTTAGACAACTTTTATTGTCACTTTGTTTACACACAGTGTATACAAAACAAAATTTCATTTGTACGGCTTTCAAAATATTTCCTTAAAGTGCAGCAGTCATTAAATGTAAATGGTGTGGAACAAAAAAAATGGTGCAAAAAAACGTATTAATGTGGAAGTTCAGAGCATTAAGTACGTATCGAGCAAATATGCAGAATTTCGGATTGGTGTTATCTGTGCGATGCAGAATCTGTGACGTGATTAACCTCTTACACCCTAAGGGGGTATAAATAAATTTCTGCCTGACAAAAACACACAAAAGTAAATAACTTATAGCCTCACAGCTATTAGATTTAAGAAGAAACTTTTGGTACCTCTGTAAAGGTAAGATGTCATAGAATGGTTTTCTGGTGTCAGCACCATTTTAGCTTTGACCCTGCCTGAAATATTAGGGACAAAATACAAAATATTTTGCATTTTTTGAACCTCGCCAAAATTTTCTTTGAAATAAACATTGCAAAACACTACCAAAATATTATTTATAGCACAAAAAAGTAGTACAGACTTTCAAATCTAAATGTTGTGTAAAAATATACCAAATTTGGACTCAATCAGATGAATCATATTTATTTTAGAATGGTATTAGTAAGAAATTTCTTAGGCGGAGAGGCCATTTTGGCACATTTATCCATAAATGTCACCAGACTGTGCCAAATATGTTTTTTACATCAATACTGGGGGTTTGGTAAAACTACGAGGTCATGTAGCAGCTGGACCTGCCGGTGGGTCCGTAGGGTTCAAGGGGTTAAGAGTTTTCACAACAGTACAGCTGTCTGATGGGGGTCTGGAAGAAGCTGTTTCGGAATCTGCTGGACCTGCATTGAACATGTTTAAGTGTAGCATAACGGATAAAAATAAAACTGAATTTTCTGTAACACTTCAGCCTTCCTGATATCTACTGGAAGTAGAGCTGGGCGATATGGTGATATATATCGTGAGGACGAGAGAAACATGTCTATCGTGACCTTTCTCCTCTATTTTTTCTATCGTGATAAACTTTTTCACTGTTCACTGTCATGGCCGCAAATTGCATAACTGGTGTTCTTGGTTTGGGGTTGGGATTCTCATATTAGGAAACAAGATGATGGGTAAAAAATAGGCGATGAAAGATTTTTTTCAACCCTGTCCATCTGACGGACTATGAAAACATAAAATGCAACATCAGTTGTGGTATATCGTGATATATATCGTTATCGTGATATAAAATAATCCATATCGTGATATAGTTTTTTTTCCATATCGCCCAGCCCTAACTGGAAGTTAGCTAACTAGTTTTAAGGGCCGATTATACTTCTGCAGCCGCACACATCAATTGTAGTTTTGCTGTTATCCTTCTGGAACGTTGCTGTGGAATTTGTAGGGACGCACAGCAGTTTCCTGCCAAAGTGCTAGGGAGAGCCTATTCGAGAACTCGCGAGAACTTTGGTGGATGGTAACGAGAAGTTCAGCGGCGCCGGCGGGAGTGTTTATCTTCCAAAACAACAATGGCGCGTCTGCAAGATATCAAGGTCACAGAGATGGATCTAGTTTAATAATCCCAGGGTGAAACTACTTTTGTTACATGACTCCATATGTAATAGAGTGACTATAGGACCAGTTTGATATAACACTATTTAATACCATATATATAATTAGGGGGTCCCTTGGCCTGGAAAACGTTGAAGACCCCTGCTATAGAGCTCTGCTGGTTTCTGATCTCCTAGTTTTATAGAAAATGATCTGTAAATGACTTGACACCTGAACTCCTGATGACACTCCTCCAGAGAACAGTGTTAGATTTAGCTGTAGAAAGTGAGAAGTAGACCTTTTCACTCTTTTCTCAGTTAAAAAAAGAGCTGTATGATCTCTCCAAGTATTGTTGCGCTTCTAAAACACTAACTTCGTTTTCTCTTTTCTCCCACCGTCTCCTCGTTAACCAACATGTTTGTTTCCTCTTGTGCTGCAGATCTGATCCACTGCACCAATGAGATGAACGTCAACATTCCCCAGCTGGCAGACACCCTCTTCGAGCGAACAGCCAACTCAAGCTGGGTGGTGGTCTTCAAAGCCCTCATTACCACCCACCACCTCATGATGTACGGCAACGAGGTACGGGACGCACGCACACACGTTCAACAAACTCCCTCCCTCTCCGGGGGGGCCGTCTGCGCAGGCTACATCAATAAGCGGCGTTATTACTCAACTCCGTCTGGCACAGTCATAAATACAAACAGGTTTGAATGTTTTATTCATGTCCACATCACGGGTTTGATCGGAGGGAGGGCCGACGCGCGTGGGATGGAGGAAGCACCGAGGATACACGCGTCGGACGCAGAGCTCGTAGTGATGGAAATAGCTGTGGAGCGCAGAGAAATTAATTGGCTCGCTACGAGCTGGAGGCAAGATGGCGAGAAATGGGTGGAAGCAAATGAATAATCAAGTGAATTAGGTTTTCAAAAACATTACGGGAAGTAGGAAATAACCCTCTGTTATCTAATATGAAATGTTCTTCTTTGTCTTTTTTCACTCTCTGTAATCTAGGACTTTGAACTTCTTTCAATTTTTTTTTTCCATTTTCCGTCCACTTGTGCGGTCTATAACCAGGATGTTAAGTGCAAACTCCCAGAAATCACGGGATGGTAACCCTCACGTAGTTTTCAACATTTTTATTAATAGAAATCTGAAAGAAGAGACATTCATTTATTTTATAAGGAAAAGATCTGCACCTCTTACTCATCTCTAACCAATCAGAATCCAGCTGGACGTTGATCTTTTTTATCAAACTTCCATTTTGCATCCAGTCAATAACTTATATTAAAAGCAAATAACCCATTAAACACAACGTGTCTTTATATCACCTCAACTTTTAGGCATGTTTTATACAATTAGCTTTATTAAAACGCTGCTTTGTTTTTTTTTTAATATCATCGCCTAAATGATCTGAACAATTTGCAGACATGCTGTATAATTGTCGTTGTAAATCAGAGCCATTCTTAGCCAGGGGGTGCCAATGATCCCAGGCGAAGGGGGTTTCATCATGAAGCGCTTGTCAGAATTAGATTTACTCACATGCTAAGTAATAAAGCACTCAGGGGGTTAATACAAGCCTTGGTGAACACGAGGGGCATCAATAACTCCTGTCGAACACGAGCTTTCCTTTGATGTGTCGGTAGAATAAGAGGCAGAACTCATCAGCTAACAGTGTTTAAAAGAGAACCAGCAAAGGGATGCGTTAAAATGTTCTAAAATGACACGGAAACTGAACCATAGAGTAGAAAAACTGTAGTGATGTGTAGAACAGGAAGGATGTGGGCTGTTTGGCTCCTTTTACAACAGATCAGATTCCTATGAAGTTCTAATAAATCATCTCTGACTTCCTTCTAGATTTTAAAGTCGTCGGGAAATCACATTTAAATGTAAAATCATTCTGGCTTAAACATGTATATAAATGTACTCTTTATCAGACGATATTGTCATCCACGACCTCCGACACTAAACTCTCCTCCTCTTGCATGTTTCCGCTGTCCATAGCGTTCCTTGACAGTGTTGTTTCTAAGGCCCCGTCCACACGAAGTCAAACCCTGGCCTAAACGCACACATTTTTCACCAAACCAACCTCTCATCCATACGAAGCCGTCGTTTCGGGGGTCTGTAAACAATCTTTTTTTATTAAGCCTTCAGAGTGGGAAGATTTTGAAACTCCGTTTTCACGTTTCCATCTTTAAGCTCTAACCGCATTTTTTTTCTTACACGCATGCGTCATAGCGTCGCCTCTAAACACGCATGCGCGACACAGTATCACAACAACAATGGCGCCGTACTGTGTTGAATGGTTGCTGCTGATGCTACTCACCCTGCTGTCGGGCTTACAACAGAATCTTCTTCTGGAATATCTCCAGGAAGAACAGAGCAATATCGACGACATGGTTCAGCACCTGAATTTGACTGAACAACGAAAATGGACCCGCAGGGCAACCATGTATAAATATTAGTGCGCATGCCCAACATTTCGTCGCCTATTTTTGCTTTGGCACCACAGCGCCACTTACAGGCCTGGCATACATTTTGCAGCGTTTTCATGCATTCGTGTGGACGATCATATTTATTTTACGTCTCCGTCTTTACGACAAACATTCTGGAAAATATTAGCGTTTCGTTGTCGTTTTGACTTCGTGTGGACAGGGCCTAAGTCACCAATTTAGTGCCAATGGAATTTCCCATTGGGAACCTACTAGGGGTGGGTATTGCCAAAGGAGTCACGATTCGATTCGAATCACGATTCACAGGCCACGATGCGATTCTATCACGATGCATCACGATACTTGAATTATTGCGATGCATTGCAATATTTTCTCCTCCATGTTTTGTTTTTGAATGACACGGCGCAGTAGAAATGCTTGTGACACAAGGCAGTGTGCATCAACACATCAGCAGCGACATCTACTGGACTGAAAGTTGTATTGCACTTGTTTTTGGCTGATGTTCGCCAACCATTCATGCAATTTTATTTACTCATTTTTTAAAATTAATAATCGATACTTGGCGTCAAGAATCGATGCAGTAGATCATGAAAATTAGAATCACGATGCATCATCATGACGATTATTTTGCACACCCCTAGAACCTACTAGCACTAAGTTGCTAACTGGTTAGCAAGATGCTTCAGAGAAAAACGGCCATAATCATACTTGGTCGCGAACCTTCCGCCACAAGAATCCCGCCCTCTTGATAAATGACCAATCACATTCACTCGTGTAAAGTCGTGCACCATTCGGGAGAATTTGGAAATGCAACGTTTGGAACGGCTGTTTCCCTACGACTTTAAAGATCATTGTTGCAGAGCTACAGCATGCAAGCAGCATTTTGGAGCAATAATAGATACTAAACACGGCTTTATTTTGGAGGAGGGTTGGAAGAGAGCTTTTTCTGTCATGCAGACGTAACCATGCAGAGTTTAGTAAACGCCACTGAGACTCTTTCTTTCTAAAAAGCGTTTAAAGCAAAGGAGGACTGGATGGAAAACAGCCGATCGGAGGATCTGTAACACTGCGGGTTTGTAGTCTTCTAAACTTTCTGGGTTCCCTGTTGTTGTTTGCTTTATTTTTGTAATATCTAAAGATTTCAAATGTAGATCAGACAGCTGGTGCTGGTTTAGAAAAAAAAACATTTAAGAGGATAAAAATCTTAAAGGTACGGCCACACAGCAGCAGACCCCCTGACTCAAAATAAACTTGGGTGCCCTCATGCTCCAGGCCTCTAACGGTGGATCCTTCACCTCCTCACAGCTTAAAATACCTTCGCTCTAATGATGACCTCGTCCAACTTCCTCCTTAATTTAGGTTCAAAGACGTCATACCAGCTCAGCACACGTGCAAAATCAGCCCAAACAGTCTGTGCTTCCTGCTTTTATCACAGACCATCTGCTGGATTCAGGAGGTGGAAGATTTGTCTGATAGAGCTGGAGAATAAAGGAGCTAAAGTGGACAGTTCAGCATAAAACATGAAATAATGAAGCCCATGTGTTTTCACACATGCATACGAAGCTGGAAGTAGAGTCACATTTACAAGCACAGAACAGATGAATTAAAATGAAGATGGTTGAGAGCCATCAGAACAGCTCTGACGGTGACTGCAAAACACTCATTTGTTTTCTATTCAGTTTCTCTTTGTCATAAACTGCATTTTACTGAAGTTAAGGTTGATTCTTCATCTTTTTAGATAAAGTTGAACCTTAAAGGACATGGAAGGTGTTTTTTTTCTATATAAGGAAGTGCTAGCTGGCCAGCAGGGTTTTTTTTCTCCTTAGATTTAGGGCTAAAATAAATAGAGGGAAAAAATGGATCTCTTTTGAAGGAAGCCCATTGAGCAGACAGACGTCTGTGTTGACAGTGACTCACTTGATGTGAATCGACTGACCTGAGATTGGAGATTAAATTAATAAATGACACACACACACATATACTCATTTTGCTATATGTAGTGAGGACCATATGTTGACTCCCATTGACTTCCACTGGTTTTCGGTCATTTTCAACACCTAACCATTACTAATGCATATCTCACCCTAACCCTAAGCCAATTGACACCATAGCCCTAAACTTAACCATTAGCAAAATAACATGTGAGGACCTGCAAAATGTGCTCACTTTGCAACAACTGGCCCTCAGTTTAATGGTGAAATTGGTAAAATGGTCCTCACTCTGAGGGCTAGACAGGTACACACACACTTAAAACAAAATGATGTGATGGAAGATCTGCAAAAATTAAGCTTTTTCAACCAAATTGTTTCTGGAACAAAGCAGCAAAAGAGATGCTTAAAACAAAACAACAATACACATACCAAAACAAGCCTTTATTCCTCCTCACTTTGACTTGAAAGGGATTCCTGAAAAGAGTCTCATTTCTTTCTCTAAGGTGAAGCTAAGGAGTTAAAGCAAAAGGGAACATGAATGTGACTGAAACTAAAAGATAAATCTCTGATTTGTGGTTAAATTTCCTCAGAGTTTAAAGTAAAAGTTTTAGCATATGCCAGGTCATTGAAAGCTTTACATGTAATGTTAGGTTGGGAAAGGTAACATTTGTGTGTGAACTGCAAGGGTGTGGAAAAAACATTTTTGCAATATATCTTGATTTTTGTCTGCCTGATATAATATCAGCCTTTTAGTCCCTAGTATCTATTTTTTAAGCAAAACATTTTTACCTAAAACTGAGGGAAAATGGGCTTCCTCTGCACCGCCGCTCTGGCAGACAGAGCTGTGGAGCCCTTTTGCTGTACGGCGCAGATGTGGATTGACTCAAACGCAAAGCAACATGGATACCAAAAGAACTCAAAGATAAATATCATCTGATGAACATTTACAGAGGTTGCTTTTTATTTATACATTCAATTTTGCTGGCAGGAAAAGTATCGCAATATATGGTGATATTGCCATATAGACCCAAGTATCGAGATACGTATCGTATCGCAGCACCCATTCCAATACTCACCCCTAGTGAACTGCCGCTTTATCATTTCCTCTTCAAATGTCGGCCTTGATTGCAGCATGGCCACTCTGCACTCTTGGCCACTCTGCTCTATACTATTTTCAAAGATTTAAAATGACTGAAAA